GATAGAGGAGAGGATAGGTGGAGAGGAAACAAACAGGTCGAAGAGGCGGGGATGGAGCCAGTAAAGGTGAGTGTAGGTAGGGAGTTAGGAAGGGGATAGGTCAGTCCAGGGAGGACAGACAGGTCAAGGGGGCGGGATGAGGTTGGTCGGTAGGAGATGGAGGTGCGGCTTGAGGTGGGAGGAGGGGATAGGTGGGAGGAAGAACAGGTTAGGGAGGCAGGGACGAGCTGGACTGGTTTTGGGATGCGGTGGGGGGAGGGGAGATTTTGAAACTTGTGAAATCCACATTGATACCATTGGGCTGCAGGGTTCCCAAGCGGAATATGAGTTGCTGTTCCTGCAACCTTCGGGTGGCATCGTTGTGGCACTGCAGGAGGCCCAGGATGGACATGTCGTCTGAGGAACGGGAGGGGGAGTTGAAATGGTTCTCGACTGGGAGGTGCAGTTGTTTATTGCGAAACGAGCGTAGGTGTTCTGCAAAGCGGTCCCCGAGTCTCCGCTTGGTTTCCCCAATGTAGAGGAAGCCACACCGGGTACAGCGGATGCAGTATACCATATTGGCAGATGTGCAGGTGAACATCTGCTTGATGTGGAAAGTCTTCTTGGGGCCTGGGATGGGGGTGAGGGAGGAGGTATGGGGGCAGGTGTAGCACCTCCTGCGGTTGCAGGGAAAAGTGCCGGGTGTGGTGGAGCTGGAGGGGAGTGTGGAGCGGACAAGGGAGTCACGGAGAGAGTTGTCCCTCCGGAAAGCAGATAAGGGTGGGGAGGGAAAGATGTCTTTGGTGGTGGGGTCGGATTGCAGATGGCGGAAGTGTCGGAGGATGATGCGTTGGATCCGGAGGTTGGTGGGGTGGTACGTGAGGACGAGGGGGATTCTTGTTTGGTTTTTATTGCGTGGACGGGGTGTGAGGGATGAGGTGCGGGAGATGTGGGAGACACGGTTGAGGGCGTTCTCGACCACCGAGGAGGGGAAGTTATGGTCCTTGAAAAACGAGGACAACTGAGATGTACGGGAGTGGAATGCCTCATCCTGGGAGCAGATGCAGCGGAGGCGAAGGAATTGGGAATAGGGGATAGCATTTTTGCAGGAAGGTGGGTGGGAGGAGGAGTATTCTAGGTAGCTGTGGGAGTCGGTGGGCTTGAAATGAATATCGGTTTCTAGGTGGTTGCCCGATATGGAGACAGAGAGGTCCAGGAAGGGGAGAGAGGTGTTAGAGATGGTCCAGGTAAACTTAAGGTTGGGGTGGAAGGTGTTAGTGAAGTGTATGAACTGTTCGAGCTCCTCGTGGGAGCACGAGGCGGCGCCGATACAGTCATCAATGTAACGGAGGAAGAGGTGGGGTTTAGGGCCGGTGTAGGTACGGAAGAGGGATTGTTCCACGTAACCTACAAAGAGGCAGGCGTAGCTTGGGCCCATGCGGGTACCCATGGCTACCCCCTTTGTCTGTAGGAAGTGGGAGGAATCAAAATCTCCCCTCCCCCTACCGCATCCCAAAACCAGTCCAGCTCGTCCCTGCCTCCCTAACCTGTTCTTCCTCCCACCTATCCCCTCCTCCCACCTCAAGCCGCACCTCCATCTCCTACCGACCAATCTCATCCCGCCCCCTTGACCTGTCCGTCCTCCCTGGACTGACCTATCCCGTTCCTAACTCCCTACCTACACTCACCTTTACTGGCTCCATCCCCACCTCTTCGACCTGTTTGTTTCCTCTCCACCTATCCTCTCCTCTATCCGCCTCCCACTCTCTCCCTATTTATTTCAAAACCCCCTTCCCCTCCCCCTTTTCTGATGAAGGGTCTAGGCCCGAAACGTCAGCCTCTCTGCTCCTATGATGCTGCTTGGCCTGCTGTGTTCATCCAGCCCTGCACCTTGTTGCTTTGGATTTTATATATATTTTTTTAAAAATCAACGATGATTCACCAGCATTCTCAGTTAGAGTTTAAAGGAAATCTGTTAAACTATTTCATTCCTGTTTCAAGGTCAGTTTAGACAGGAATTACTGCGATGATAACTAACAGGAACAATTATTAGCACTGCTCAAATTTAACTTATCTTCTGAATAAAATCAATTCTGTGCACCCATAACAGTTCAAAAATACTTTTGTACCGTGCTTTCACAAAAACTGCACATTTAAAATTTGGTTCCAGCTAATTAAAAACAATGAGTGACATCATGTACCATCATGTTCTTGTCTCTTTCATTTCTGCTGCAGTATTGGATTACAAAATTCTTAAATGGAATAAAACAACAAAGAAAACTCCAAGTTAAATCTCCTCTGCTCTGGTACTTCCTTGGGACATTGGAATTTGTTCTCTTTTTATGGAAACAAGGTCTGCTCATAAAAGCAAATTACTGCATGGCCCAGAAGAGTGGTGCAGTGCAGCCTCGATATGAAAACAGTCAATTTGATATGTGATTATTGATTTTTGCATCTTATTTTTGTAAGCTCAAAGGAATACTTTAACAAAAGATGTCAAAGGAGTTAGGAATTTTGTACTCTATTTACTTAAAAAAAACTGTACAGGCTCTAGCTCACTCTAGTGGATGAAAATAAGATTTGCAATGAAAAAAGCATCTTAGTTGTTCTGGATTTAGCAAAAAAGCTAGAATTGGCAGAGTCCTCATAAACAAACAAGTTTTAGTGAAATAATTTTGCTTTATACTTGCATACCTTAAAATGCATAACAAAATTTACACTAAGAATTAAAATCTCTCAGTAACATAAATTTACCCTATCTTACACTTAAAGAAGTGATTATCAGTTGGCACTTCCAATTAGCAGAGATTAAATAATAAATAAACATTAACCAAGACACATGAAAATAGTTCTGTGCAAATGTACAATCATGATAATAAAATTAAATGTCATACCAATCAGGTCAAGAAGCATAGACAATGTAATTTTTATGAGCGTTTTCTTCCTCTTTTCATACAGTAGAATGACTTTGATGTAGAAAATCTCATGGGACAAAAATTGATACCACGCCTATAGAGATATTAAAACAGGTGACTTGATCAAAGAGGTCAAAGGAGGAACAAGGTGGACGATGTGGTTTAGAGAGGCAATTTTAGAGCTCAGATCCTGGATGATTCAAGGAACGACCTTCAATTGCATGGAAAAAGAATAGGGAATTGCTGAAGGAGGGTTTTGTTTCGAGGAATTTGAACACCGGAATGAGAATTTTCCAAATTGAGATGTTCGTGTACTCAAGCACATGGGATGATGCGTCAGGGGACATGGGGAAAGGTAAAATCCAGCAGCAATTTTGGGCAAGCTCAAGTTTATGCTGAGTGGAGGATAAAAAGTCAGCCAAGACAGACAGTCTAGAAGTAACAGAAACGTCAAACAGGATTGCACCAAAATTAAGCTGAGCTGGGATTTTGGCAAGCCATGTAAATGGGGAGGAAGAAGGTGGTCTTTTATGGAAGAGGGGTTTGGAGTCATAAGTCTACTTCAGGACTAAATAGAACACAAATTACATAGTTCAGTCCAAGACAGTAGGAGGCTAAAGGAATAGAATCAATTGAGTGAATGGAATATGCAGTAGTCTCTGAGCTTCCCAATGTTAAATGAATAATATTTCACCTCATCTAGGTTTCAGATCAGCTATCTGACAAACTAAAGGTGGACAGATCAAGTGACAGTTTGTAGACATTGTGCTTTCAGATGATGTTACTGAAAACTAAAAGTGCAAATATGGTCAAAGGTGAAGGTTTCAGGAAACTTCAAAAATTATTGACAGCGTTTCATGAAGTAATAGTATGAAAATAGTATGAAGAAACATGTACCAAGGATGGAACAGAGGGAAGGGAGGTCAAGGAGTAACTGGTGTCACAGGCTCTCTGCAGCTTCTTAGATTTCACTATATGTGCCAAAAGCAGCAATGAGACATCAGTCTCTCTCATTTTGGAGACAAGAATAGTTTTGAGTAGTAAAATATTTCAAAACTAAGTGGAACAAGAAACATATGAGCAAAAATGGGCACATGATCAATACAGAGTCCCATTTTGAACCCACCTCGGTCTTTTAGTTCAAGTGTTTTCTTCTTACATCTTCCAGATTCAGTAGCTTTGACGGGCATAGTCTGTTCTACAGTGGCAGGTTTTGCAACTGCATCATGAACAACAGGTGTGCAGGTGGCTCTAGAGATTACTGGTCCCACTGCTCGAGATCCAGAAAGTTTCACATGGTCATACCTTGTCAATGCAAGATAGAATGTAGTTAGATAAACAAACATCAACACTATCACCATAGAATGGGGCACACTAGTAAACTGCACACTAGTAACTTAAGTCTAAATATGACCCACTGACATAGAAAAGAATTTTTTTAAACTTGCAGGCAAAAAGCTAGTGAGACAAGTGGGTTGTCAGCGAAGAACTGCAACAAGAGGCCCAGTGAATTTCACCTGCTGGGTTTTTGTTTACATTTGTGGTTGTTACCTGCTTGAATTGGATTTTTAGAGACAGGTCATTGGCTCAAGTCTTGCAAAGTTTGGCAGCTCTGAAACCACCAGTAAGGCTAGTTAGGCTGGGGTTGTCAAGGATATTTTTCAGATTGGAGGAATAGTAAAACCCACATTACAGCAAGCAAAGGCAAACGATAAACTATACAGGACTTGTTTTTTTCCCAGCTCTAACAGTTAAATGGTTTGCAAAGAACTGGGTAAATTAAGTGGTTAAAGCACCCATGCACTTAAAACTTAGTCATCTGTTACACCATTTGTAACATTTTCAGGCATTTCACAGAACATCACTTCTTTGTAGTACTTGAAAATACCACATTTCATTTCCATAAATAGTTCCACTAGCTTGCTAGAATTTATGTCATTTCATCAGAGCAGAAGGCTCAAGTTTAACAGGTGACTTGTACCTAACTTCAGCAGCCACAAGATGTAATGGAGACAGGCATAACTTTTATGCTTGAGTGCCACTTGTGTTCAACAGTTTATTTTAGAAGGCAGTACTGGATTACAGCTGACCCGCAGCAAACTCAGCTCATACTTCCTAAAGCAAACAAATACCACAAGCCTTTCATTAAAAATAAAAAAAAATCAGAAACTCAAAGAACATGCATTTTTCGAGGCATAAATTCTCACATCAACTGAGATTGTAAATGTTGTTAAAACATCTCAAAAATTGAGGGGGAAAATGTCAAAAAGTTAAAAGTTTTAACACACTGCCTCTAACACCTAACAGGACAAAGGCAACAGATATGTAGGAACACAACCACCTAAAAGTCCCTCCAAGCTACACAATATCGTGGAAGCAGGCCATTCAGCCCATCAAATCCACACCAAAGCTCTGAAAATTATCCCACCCAGATCAACTCCCTACCTTATCCCTGTAACCCTGCAATTCCCATGGCTAATCCACCTAGCCTACACACCCCTGGACACTACAGGCAATTTAGCATGGTCAATCCACCTAACCAGCACATCTTTGGACTGTGGGAGGAAACTGGAGCACCCGGAGGAAACCCAAACAGACAGGGGGAGAATGTGCAAACTTCATACAGACATCTGCCCAACTGTGGAATCGAACCTGGGACCCTGGTGATGTGAAGCAATAGTGCTAACCACTGAGCCACCATGCTGCCCTTCTATTCTCTGCATCAAAATTCTGGCACTCTCTTAACAGCACTACCGGAACGATATGCACCACAGGTATTCAAGAAGGTCTCTCACTACCGTCATTTTAAGGGGAATTGGGATGGGCAACAGTTCAGACTTTGCAAGAGACAGCAACAGCCCATAAATAAGTAATATAAGAAACAGAAATAAATAGGTTTAAGTCCAGAGAAGCACCAACAGACATTTAGGCAATGTATTCAAATTTAAGCAATAACTCGTTGGGGGTAGGTGAGCCAGAAAACAAAAACAGTACAAAGTGCTTGCTTCCCCAGGAAAACACGAATGGCTCCCTTCGAATTTATGATGGCAAGCACAAGTTTAATATGCTTGTCACTCATTGTGCCTCAAAATTGTATAACCCAACAATTAACTTCCCAAAATAATTTAGTGGTAGCACAGTAATAGTTAAAGACGACAAAATTATTAATCCTACCTGCAGTGGTCCCCGTAAGCACACTGCCCCTTCTGGTAGAACTTACAGATGGTAGATGGCTTGCTCGTCGACAAATCATGGGAAAACATACATCGACTCCCTTCACGACAGACCCCATGCATAAAATATCTGAAGAGAATTATTTAACAGGGTTTAGACCAATTTACACCAATTAACATAACCACATAGAATCACAGTTGAAATATCAAGTGGGTTACTCATCATTGTTTATAGAATTATCTGAAAAAGAGCTGACCAAACGAACACATGAAAACAGAAATGAAAAGAGATCTGTACAAATGACGGATAATGCCATCATTACACTAACCAGTGTGATTTTATATCTTACGAAAACAATCATGCACATGTAAACCAATGTTAAGTAGCCCATTCCAACTTAGGTTAATTTAAATTTCCGCTTCTAAGTTTAAAAAAAAAATTTTAACATGTTCCTCAATTTTTTTCACTTATTAATCCCCAAGCATATCGAATTATGAAGGTTTGGATATTTGATGTCAACTCTCCACCAAATAGTGTGCAATGATAAACAGTTGGAATTCTACGATTCCATGCCAGTTACAAACTGCTATAGAAATGTTACAGTTAGGGTGTACATTGCTGTGAACCATAGGTCAGCTGCTAAATTCAAGAACCAACAACTGAAAATGCACAAGCTGGAACTTTTGCCATGAAAAATAAAGGTTGGGTGTGACCTGATGAAGGCTTTTCAATTATGAAAAGTGTTGATGGAGGTTGCATTGTGACAATATTTTCAATTGCAGTGGAAAAGCAAAACTAGAGACCCATCAATGTAATGGAATCACAAAGAAATCAAATACAGAATTTAGAAGAAGCTTTTACCACAGTGGCAAGAATATAAATCTCACTACTGCAGGGATCAGTTGAAGCATGCAATACCTTTAGACTTTAAGGGGAGACTAGCCAAATATATGAGGCAAAATGGGACATAACAAGAACTGCAGATGCTGGAGTCAGAGTCATTTCCGTGTGGAGCTGCAGGAACACAGCAGGTTGTGCAGCATCAGAAGAGCAGGAAAGTTGACAGTTTGGGTTTACACCCTTCATCAGGACTGTCTCATGCTGTATGACCTGCTGTGTTCCTCCAGCCCAACACTGTATTGACTATGAGGCAAAAGCAAATGGAGATTTTTTTAATGTTGAAAGGAGTTAGATGAGGCAAGATGGGAGAATCTATTGTGGATCATAAGTATCAGCATGGACTGGTGGCATCAAATGACCTTTGTTGCTGTATATTCTATATAATTCACAATGTGAAACTTTGTTTAAAGGGGAACTGTGCCAATTTAAAGCAAGTAATCAAATATTAAAGCATGTTGCACGCTTAACTGTTGATCTTCACTTGACTTTTAAACACAATGAGAACAACAGATTCAACTAAGGATATATTTAAGAGGTGTGTCTCAAAGCTTGGTCTAAGGAGTGGCTTTTAAGAACAACATTTAATAAATAGAGACAATAGTTCTTTTTAGAGAGGGAAAAATGTCTTTGGTGGTGGGGTCGGATTGCAGATGGCGGAAGTGTCGGAGGATGATGCGTTGGATCCGGAGGTTGGTGGGGTGGTACGTGAGGACGAGGGGGATTCTGAAGAAGGGTCTAGGCCCGAAATGTCAGCTTTCCTGCTCCTCTGATGCTGCTTGGCCTGCTGTGTTCATCCAGCTCTACACCTTGTTATCTCATTTAATAAACAGAAGTGGATTCAAGGGAGTTTAAGGTTAATTCCAGATCACTGGCAGTTGAAAGCACGTATAACACTGAAGAGTCAAAGAAAGGGGTGATCCTTCATGAGTTCATAGAATCCCGACAGTGCGGATCAGGTGAACGGGGGGGGGGGGGGGGGGGGCGGAGCGAGAGAGGAAGAGCTTGGCAGGGGAGTGATGTTGAAGGCCTGGCACTCAGTTACAACTCTACTGACCCTGGATAACCCCAAAGGCAGAGACGTTGCCGCCAGTCCCGCTGCTTAAATCACTGAGTCCCCGCTCGGCCAGCAGCCCACCCCCGAGCATGATTCAAGAGGCTCAGTACCTGCACGTCACCTGTTTAGTACTCATCATCCCGCCGCCAATCCTACATCCTCTTCGTTATCTCCACCATCAGCTTCCTGTCCGTCCGTCTAAGACCACGTACCCGCCACAGGAACCGACACGAAGGTTCCGGGGCTCGGTCGCGGCTAGAGGTGGCGCCCCCCGCTGCCTTTCCTGTTTGTTCCGTAACCCGGAAGTGACGGTGGCGTAACGTCACGCGCATGCGCCAGTAGTCTCGTGTGTACTTGACTCCCAGTCCATGTGTGGAGCAGTTGAATCTTGGACAGTAACAACATGTTACATCTACGTAGCATACTTACCGCAGTGAAAAGGGCATTAGAAAGTCAAACATATCAATAAGTATTGTCTGTTTTTGTGAACCAATATTTCAAAATTGACTTGAGTAGATTATTAAACGTTATGCACATACCAATGTCTACAATGCCCACCAGTTGCAGAGGGTTTCAAGTATACAGCAGCTTTTAAAAATGCCTTTTTCTCAATTTATTTGTTTGAAATGAAGATACAGATTGTTTCTTTTTCTAAATTTATTAGTGTAAAAACACATGAGAAAACCAATCAAATCAATTAATAGCAAAATGGGCTCATTAGCTATTTTGAACATATCATGTAGGAAGATGTCAGGGTACATATAGAGCTTGGGTTCCACCTCATCAGTCTTGGCCCAAACATGGTCAAAAGATCTGAACTCAGTAGCTGAGGTGAGAGTGACTGCCCTTCACATCATGGCATCACTTGACTGAGTATGCCATCAAACAGCCCCAGCGAAACTAAAACCAGTGGGAATCAGAAGCAAAACAGTCTACCCAGTACAGAGGAAGATGGTTGAGATTGCTGGAAATCAACCATCTTAGTCCCCGGCTGTCTCTGCAGGAGTTCTTCAGGGTAGTGTCCTAGGCTCAATCGCCTTAATCTGATTCATCAATGACCTTCCCTCCATCATAAAGTCAAAATGCAGCGGGGAGACATTCACTGATAATTATACAATCTCCAGCACCATTCACGGATCTTCGCATGCTGAAACAGACATGTCCAAATGCAACAAGCCCAATACAACGTTTTGGAGTAGATCTGTAGCTCGGGTTGTGGGTGTTGAGGTTGGTTGGCTCGCCGAGCTGGTTTGTTGTTTTGCAGACGTTTCGTTACCATGCTTGGTAACATCCTCAGTGCAGCCTCCGATGAAGCGTCAGTGTGTTTTCCCGCAAGGTTTTTAAACTCTGGGGTCCGTTGAGATGGATTGCCTCACTTCCGGCTAGGCAGAGACAAGCACGAGAATTCCTGGAAGCATGGCACTCCATGAAGCATGCTATTAATAAACACATTGAACTCGACCCCATAGACATTCCACTACGAAGGAAACCCGGAAGTGAGGCAATCCATCTCAACGGACCCCAGAGTTTAAAAACCAGGCAGGAAAACACACCGACGCTTCATCGGAGGCTGCACTGAGGATGTTACTAAGCATGGTAACGAAACGTCTGCAAAACAACAAACCAGCTCGGCGAGCCAACCAACCTCAAGTCCAATACAATGTTCAGGCTCATGTTGATAAGTGGCAGGTGACATTTATGGCTCATAATTGTAAGGCAATTACCATCTCCACAAGAAACAATCTAATCTCACATTCAATTATATTACCATTACTGAATTGCCCACTATCAACTTCCTGAGGGTTACAATTGACCAGAAACTGACCTGGCCCAACCATATAAGTACTGTGGCTACAAAAAAGTTGAGAGGCTGGGAATTCTATGATGAGTAATTCACTTGCAGGCTCCCCAAAGTATATCAATTGCTATAAGGCACAGGTCAGATTGTAAAGGAATACTGTTCATTTTCTTGGATGAGTGCAGCTCCAACAATACTTGAGAAGCTCAACACCATTCAGGATGAAACTGCCCATTTGATTGGAATCACATCCATCAACTTAAACATCACTCCTCCTTCCAACGACGTACAGTATCAGCAGTGTGTACCTTCTACAAGGCTCAATATAACAACTAATCGAGGCTCCTTTAACAGCACCTTCCAAATCCATGGCCTCTACTACCAAGGAAGACAAGGGCAGCAGATAAATGGGAACACCATCACCTGAAAGTTCCCCTCCAAGCCAAATTCCATCCTAACTCAGAAATATATTGCCACTGTTGTTGGGTCAAATTCCTGGGACTCACCAACAACAGTTGGTGACCCTACACCACACAATACTTCAACAGTTCAAGAAAGTAGATCTAAAAAATAATTAGGGAAGGGCAATGAATGTTGGTCTAACCAGCAATGTTTACATTTGTGAAAGAATCACTAAAGAAAATATAATTTTAGATAGCCTGAGTATACTGCATGTGGATGCTATTGTTTAAATTGTTACATGTATTGTGAAATCCTGTGGGATGTTAGAAGTGTGTGAAATTTGGAGATTCAGGAGGATTTTGAATTCTTTCCACCAAGTTAAGACTTCTTTATTAAGGGTGTTCTTATGGTACTAAAATATTACTCTGGTTTTATAGTTCAGTGTTACTAATCATCTGTAAACACTACAAAGCTAATTTTATGAGGTGTGTAGCTTTTAGGCCCTAACCTTCCATATTCCTATGAAAGCAAACTGTGCATAGGTTTTCGTTCATAGATTAATAAGGATTACTTTGAATACCTACATTGTTTGTCAGTTTCTCAATTTTGGTATACCAGAATAAAGAGTTACTATACTATTTACAGATCAGTCAAAATATTTAGCCTGAACCATGATATATCATTGTATCTGATTAATCGTTACAGTTGTAAACACATATATTGTCAGCTGTGCTAAATGAAAAACTACTGTTCAAAGGAAGATAGATTGAGAAACCCTGAGATAGTAAGAACTGCAGATGCTGGATTCAGAGATAACAGTGTGGAGCTGGAGGAACACAGCAGGCCAGGCAGCATCAGAGGAGCAGGATTTTCTGAAGAAGGGTCCTGACCTGAAACGTCAATTTACTGCTCCTCTAATGCTGCCTGGCCTGCTGTGTTCCTCCAGCTCCACACTGTGTTATCTAGATTGAGAAACACTTTTTGTTTTGCTTTTTTATTATTCTTGTCAGTAGGATAGACTTCATAGTGGCAACATCACAAGTTTTCTGTTTACTGCAGCTTCAATTAATGTTCTTTAGAGAAGTGATATTAAACTTTTACTGCTATGTTGAGTTGACGGGGTGCGAGCAATATTCTACAATTTGTGGATGTCGACAGGAGGTTCTGTAACATGTTCCAATTCTTATCTTTTCAACTTATTGTGAAACCAAACATTTATACAAGCTGTTATTATCTCCATGAAATAACTGTATTTGAATCACAAATGATCCAGGGAATATCCCCATTCCAAGTAAATACTTAAAATGGTTGCCACAAACATAAGTGGGCACAGTGAAAATGGTGCAGCACGCAGTCTGTTCCACACGAGAACAATTTTAAGACCATCATGAATTCTCAATTTCATTGTCACTAAATGCCCTTTGCTCCCTCACCCAGGTGTTCACATAAAATAAGGAACAGAATTCTATAATTCAGACATTGCTTAGCCAGATTAGAATGTAGGTCACTATGTAGACTAGTGATGTGGCGAACAAGTTGCTTTTCTTCCTAATAATGTTGGATATTCTACATCATTAGACGGATACCCTTAGACCAAGGCACTTACTAAAAATCCTCTCTACTGAAATGCTCTTACTTATTTAAAGGCAACAGAAAAATACAATTTAACACAGAAGAGAATACATCGGAAAGAAATGCTTCCTCCAATTGTGCAGTCCTCCCTCTGTTTTGCACTGGACTGTTAACTTGGCAGATGGGGGCTCATGTCTGGGGAGCAAGGTCTGCGCCCACTTTTTGGCTCAAGGCGTCTTGAAACATTACCAATCAGTCACGCTGACATATCCTTGGTGTGTTTTTGTAATCAATGACAATACACTGGCTTTAGTCTGAAATGAGTAAATGTTTGGAAGTGATCACAGCACTTTGGTTAATATTCACTCAAGAACTCCATACTGAACACAGCACTTTGGTTAATATTCACTCAAAGAACTTTATATCGGTTGTCTTTTCCCTGTCAAATTTCTAGAAATAATTTCAGGCTTTCCTTATAAAAGCCGTAACAGGAAAACAACGATGTGATTGATCAGTGATACAATTCTCGAATTGCTTTGCCTGTCGTGTGTATCACACAGAATTGCTTTGCCGTTGGATCAAAAAGGTTCCGTAATGCGGAAATATGTGCTGAATTTATGGTGGATAATTTACTCAACTCACTTTAGATAAGATTGCTCAACATAGACTGCAACTTTTAGCCTTCTGGGGCAGTATAAAGCCTGAGCGACAACACAGTATGGAGTTGGAGGAACACAGCCGGTCAGGCAGCATCAGAGGAGCAGGAAAGTTGACGTTTCGGGTCGAGACCTTTCTTCAGACGCAAACTCCATCATAAAGGCTCAGCAGTGAGTTTTGCGACTTTGTATCTTTTTCTGGGCTAAACATTCTCATTTCCGCCTAGAGTTGTCTCTGCCTCAACCTATTTCCCATTCGACAAGAGGCCCCAATACATGAAGCAGTAAAATATAACAGGACATGCAGGATGCAGCAGCTCCATTAACTTCTAAAAACAAAAGCAGGTTAATATTTCAGACACAATGTCTCAACCCTCTGCATGTATCTTTACAGATCCGCGCTGCCTTAAATAATGGGACCGGATGAATGAAGTTGGGCTCCGCCCTGCAACACCTTGGATTGGACCAGCAATCAAATCCCAACCCTAACTTGGACAGTTTTATTTTATATCTAAATCTCACTGGCTCCGGCATCTGTTCATGACATCGTTGCTGACTCGGAAGTTGGTGTTCAAAGTGTCGCCACCATTGTAAAGGAATTATCTGTTTGGTTCAGAGACTAACTTCTTTGTAGCTAAGAAATGGAGAATCGTGTGATCAAGTTCCGTCACTGTGAGGAGGATATTTATTGCTTTAGTATACCCGAGCAGTGCCCGATCTGTGGTCAGAGTCTCCTGGGACGAAGACTAGAAGATGCCCCGGTCAGTATTCCCAACTCCTTTGTAGATGGTCATCACGAAAAGTGCTCATTCCTGATCAAACCTACTAAAGGATCATTCTTGAGGTAAAGTCAAACGGAGATATTAAGCGGCGTTAGTTTACTGCATCGGACTTGACATACTAAATCTCTGGTGCACAAGAAAAACTGATTCAGGCTTAGAGTTTGAATCTGAAAAGAAGCAAGGCAAAATCTATTTGTATAAGTTAAAGTAGTAGGCTACATTTTAGAGAACAGCCGCGAAGAATATTGATGTAACCTTCCATATGGCAGATTAAGGATGGTGTACTGTCTAACATTAGCCAGATCAGATCTTTGCAGTAGTATAGATTGAAGTTGTCAGTCAGCACCATGCGGAAATCCTTGCATCATTTTCACACCCACCTGATCAGGACCATTCAGGATCTTCATAGAAATCTCAGACTTCAGGCCGAGCCGAAGAAGAGTCCCGATCCAAAAGTCAGCTTTCCTGCTCCTCTGATGCTGCCCGACCTGCTGTGTTCCTCCAGCTCCTCCCTGTATTGTCTCTGACTCCAGCATCTTGCCGTTCTTGCTACCTCCTTAATGTTCCTCGTCAGTTTCACATTGAAGGGGATTAAAAATGTACATGGATGGGTTTAAAACAAACAGGTAGTTAAGATTCTAAATATGAGACACACACAGATCCCCAAAGAGACCTTGCTTCTGCAACATTTCATGTGCTTGTCCTAGTTGCCGAGAAAATAGGTGCTCCTAAACACACAAAATGTTAGCTGGATTGCCACACCATACCCTTCTTCTATCACCCCCACAACTGTCTAGTTACCTCAAATATAGTTGTGATATACTGGTCCATGGTGCCTGGAGTCAGAGATAGATAGGTTCATGAACAAAAACAAAGTTGCTGGAAAAGCTCAGCAGGTCTGGCAGCATCTGTGGAGGAGAAAACAGAGTTAA